AAGCCCTGTTATGGGGGGCTGAGACCCCCCAAGGGGGGGGCAAGCCCTGTTATGGGGGGGCTGGGCCTTCCTGGGGGGCTCTGGCCTGTTATGGGGGGCTGAGACCCCCAAGGAGGGGGGAAAGCCCTGTTATGGGGGGGCTGGGCCTTCCTGGGGGGCTCTGGCCTGTTATGGGGGGCTGAGACCCCCAAGGAGGGGGGCAAGCCTTGTTATGGAGGGGCTGGACCTTCCTGGGGGGGCTCTGGCCTGTTATGGGGGGCAAGCCCTGTTATGGGGGGGCTGAGACCCCCCAAGGGGGGGCAAGCCCTGTTATGGGGGGGCTGAGACCCCCCAAGCGGGGGGCAAGCCTTGTTATGGAGGGGCTGGACCTTCCTGGGGGGGCTCTGGCCTGTTATGCGGGGGCGGAGACCCCATGGGGGGGGGCAGGCCCTGTTAGGGGAGGGCTGGCCTATTATGAGCGTTGATCGCGGGGACGAGGGAACCGGGGCCTGAGACCGCCACGTCCCGCGTCTGCCGGGGGCTCTTGCCCCCCGTGAACCCCGAGAGACATCAGGGAGTTGCTTTGGGGGGTCCTCCCTGCCCCCCAGCACTGGGGCGCCTGCAGATGCGGAGGCCGGGTGCGGGCTGGGCTCGCGACCCAGCTGCCCCGTCCGTGCCCGTGCCCGTGCCCGTGCCCCGGGCTCACCGCTTCCCTCCTCTCTTCCCCAGCAGTCTCGGCTCTGGACCGCGATGCTTCTGCAGGCCGCGGCCTAGCCCCCGCCATGCCTTTCTCCGACTTCGTGGCAGCCCTCAAGGACAACCCCTACTTCGGCGCAGGCTTTGGCCTGGTAGGGGTGGGCACGGCCCTGGCGCTGGCCCGCAAAGGGGCCCAAGTGGGGCTGGTGGCTTTCCGGCGCCACTACATGATCACGCTGGAGGTGCCCAGCAAGGACAAGAGCTACCAGTGGCTGCTGAGCTGGATCTCGCACCATGCCCGGCGCACCCAGCACCTCAGCGTGGAGACCTCCTACCAGCAGCACGAGAGCGGGCGTGTCACCACCAGGTTCGACTTCGTGCCCAGCCCAGGGAACCACTTCATCTGGTAAGGGCAGGGCTGCAGCTTGGGGGCAGGGTGGATTTTCTTCACGCAACGGGTTATTAACATGGGATTTATTGCCGTAGGAGGTGGTGGAGGCTGAAAGCAGAGCCAAGCTGCAGTAGGAGTAGAAAAGGATGTAAAAGAATTCGAAAAGGTCTAGAGAAAGGCACCCAAATGAGCAGAGGCTTCGAGCTGTTGCTGGACCAGGAGAGGATAAAAAGGCTGGGACTCTTCAGCTTGGAAAGGGGGAGGCTGAGGGGAAGGAGGACGAGGGTCTCTAACATCATGCAGGCTGTGGACCAAAGGGGCAGGGAGCTGTTGTTCCCCCCGTCCCAGACACCAGAGCCAGGGGCACTGGTTGCAATGAGCAGGGGATGGGTTTAAAATGAACAAGGGACAGGACTTTTTGACATAACACACCACTAAGGGGTACGATTCGTTGCCCTAGGCAGGTTTGGAGGCCGAGGGCAGAGCCGGGGCCAGCAAGAGGCTGGGTACATCCATGGAGGATCCATCTATTCGTGGCTGTAGGGCAGAGATGTTTCCAACCCAATGACGGAGGCCAGGGAGGGTGTTGGGCTGGGGAGAGAGCTCTCTAGGGAGATCTGGGTTAATGTTCATACAGCTTCTGCCCCGGCAGTGCTGGAGATGGGCAGGGCCTGACTGGACAGACCCAGGGTCCATCCAGCCCCGTGTCCCATGTTCATAGAAATCATGGAGAAATTGGGCTGGAAAGGACTCCCCATGCGTCATCTAATCCAACCCCCTGCCTGAGGCAGGATCATCCCATAGTGCCCATATTTAAGAAAGGGAAAAAGGGGGATCCAGGGAGCTACAGACCAGTCAGCCTCACCTCAGTCCCTGGAAAAATCATGGAGCAGGTACTCAGGGAATCCATTTCTAAACACTCGGAGGAGAAACGGGCAGTTAGGAACAGTCAGCATGGATTCACTAGGAGCAAGTTACGCCTGAACAACCTGATGCCTCCTATGACGAGAAGACTGACTGTGGATGTGGGGAGACTGGTGGATGTGGTGTACTTTGATTTTAGCAAGGTTTTTGATACGGTCTCCCGCAGCATTCTCACAGGCAAGCTAAGGAAGTACGAGCTCGAGGAACGGACTGTAAGGGGGATAGAAAACTTGCAGGAGCATCAGGCTCATAGATTTCATAGACATTAGGGCTGGAAGAGACCTTGTGAGATCAGTGGGTCCAGCTCCCGCCCAAGGGGCAGGAAGTCAGCTGGGGTCAGATCACCCCAGCGAGATGAGCATGCAGGTGTTTCTTAAAGGTATCCAGAGTAGGTGCCTGCACCACTTCTCAGGGGAGTCTCTTCTAGACTCTGGAGACTCGGGCAGTAAAGAAGTGTTTCCTTATATCCAGTCTAAAACAGTCTTCCAGCAGTTTGTGACCATTAAACCTTGTCTTGCCTTGGGGTGCCCTGGTGAACACACATTCTCCCAGTTCCTGATACACACATCTTATTTACTTATAGGCTGCCACCAGGTCACCCGCGAGCCTGTGCATCTCCAGGCTGAACAGTCCCATGCCTCTCAGCTGCTCCTCATAAGGCCTGTTGTCTTGCCCTCTGATCATGCCTGTGGCTCTCTGGATTCTTTCAAACTTCTCCACATCCTTTCTAAAGTGTGTAGCCCAGAGTTGGATGCAGTGCTCCAGCTGCGGCCTCACCAAGGAGAGTAGTAATTAGTGGCTCAAGGTCTAGTTGGCAGCTGGTATCAAGTGGAGTGCCCCAGGGGTCAGTCCTGGGGCCGGTTTTGTTCAATGTCTTCATCAACAACCTGGAAGATGGGACGCAGTGCACCTTCTGCAAGTCTGCAGATGACACCAAGGTAGGGGGAATCATAGGGCTAGGATTCAGAGACACCGCAACAAATTGGAGGATTTGACCAAAAGAAATCTCATAAAGTTCAATAAGGGCAAGTGCAAAGTCCTGCACTTAAGATGGAGCAACCCCATGCACTGGCATAGTCCAGGGACAGACTGGCTAAGCAGCAGCTCTGCAGAAAAGGACCTGGGGGTGACAGTGGACAATAAGCTGAATAGGATCCAGCAGCGTGCCCTTGTTGCCCAGAAAGCCAACGGCATCCTGGGCTGCATTGGTAGGAGCGTTGCCAGCAGATCGAGGGCAGTGATTCTTCCCCTCTATTCAGCACTGGGGGGCCTCTCCTGAGGCTCAACAAAGACAAGTGCAGAGTCCTGCACTTAGGAGGGAGCAATCCCACGCACCAGTTCAGAGTGGGGCTGACTGAGCTAGCAGGGGTTATTGCAGGGCCCTTGGCATGGCTTTACGAGCACTCGTGGTGCTCGGCCCAGGTGCCAGATGATTGGAAGATAGCCAATGTGGTCCCCATCTTTAAAAAAGGGAGGAGGGAGGACCCGGGCAACTATAGGCCCGTCAGTCTTAC